GCCGGATCGCACGTCTCTTATCGCGACTCCAAACTCACCCGTCTACTTCAAGACTCGCTAGGTGGAAATGCCATCACGTACATGATTGCTTGCGTGACACCTGCCGAGTTCCATCTCAGCGAAACATTAAACACCGTCCAATATGCACAGAGGGCCCGAGCCATCCAAAGTAAGCCGCGGATTCAGCAGGTGGAGGAGGGTGATAAACAGGCCATCATTGATCGTCTGAAGGCGGAGGTTGCCTTCCTGCGCGAACAAGTCCGCAGCGTGGAGCGAGGCGGGGGCGAGCGACGCATCGCCTCCACGGGCGAGCGGTCCGAGCGACAAAATGAGCGTGAAAGCGAACTGCAAAACCAGCTTCTGGACGTCCAAGAAAACTACACGACCCTGAGTCAACGTCACGCAAAGCTTATTGCTGAGATGGCTAAGGCCCGCGACAACGAAGCTGCCGAGAACGATCAACACGAGGAGTCCATGGGCGACACGGCGACAGAAAGACTGAATCGATCGAACTCATTCGCTGCTGCAGTAGAACAAGTCGTGCTTGAGTACGAGAAGACAATTCAAACTCTCGAGCAGTCGCTGTCCAGCACACGTGGCACACTCGCCAATACAGAGGCGAATTTGCTGGAAAAAGAGACCAAGTGCACGTACATTGACACTATCAACACACAACTACAGGCACGTTTGCAAAAACTCATGGATCGGGAAGCGAGTACCGAAAACTACTTGCATGACCTGGAGAACAAGCTGGACGGCCACACCTCTGGCGAGGAAAAGAACACGACCATCATTGTGGAACTCCGCAAAGAGATCTCGCGTATCAGAGAGAATGAGGCTTCTTGCGAGGACTACATATCCACCTTGGAGGAGCGACTTGCCGAGGCCGACCAGGATGCCGAGCTGATGCAGCGTGAAATTGATCGACTAGAGCAGGTCATCGAGCGCCAGCGAAGTCTCGGAAAGTTGGACTCACTTCTCCACGAGCTGGATCATATACAGGGCGACAGCAAAGTTCCCGAGCCAACTGCGGAGGCACCGAACGGTGTTGCGCGACAGATCGCTGACCACAGTCGTAGCCAGTCGCAGTCGCGTGTAATCCGTATGAGCCAGAACGATATTATTCCTGAAAATGCGGAGGAAGAAGCTGCAGCGGCAGCCGAGGCAACGGGCCTTGTGCAAAACGGCGATCACATCGAAAATGGCACTGACATCGCAACCCCCGATGCGAAAGAGAACCTCCAGGCCGACCTCAACGACTACCCACCTCACAGCCCTGCCCAGTCTAAATTTGTGCACGACAAGCTGGAGAACGTCACTCAGGAGCTCATCGATTTGCGTGTAGAGCATGAGACCACGGTCAACGAATACGATCTCCTACACTCAAAGTACGAGGAAGCCCTGCGCACCTTGGCAGAGCTTCAGGACACCATTGACGAGTCACGCCACCCCGAACGCAAGGTTCGAGACTCTATGATGTCTGTCACTTCTCCCAACCTGACACGACCTCCTTCGTTCTTCTCCGATGCCAGGTCGAGTGATCTCAAAGACGGCGGTCAATTCTCATCACGCTCTCTTTCATCAGAGCTTTCATCGGCCATGGAGTCGCCTGCCACTATTGACCCCTCAGATGCCGAGACCGCAGTCACTGCGAAGCCCGAGTCTGGCCCTGACCATTTGTCAACGGAAGACCTTATGCACCAAGATCTCCTGGCGACCGAGGTTGAGAGGTTCAAGACTCTTGCCGCAGAGAAGGAAGAGGCAGAGAAGGAGCTGGCTGAGAAGTATACACAGCTTGAACAGAAGCACCACGATGCTCTGGACATGCTTGAGGAGCTCAAGACCGAGGTTGCCCAAGCAAAGGCACTGGAGGCATCGTCACCACGCACTGGCCAACCTGTCATCCGCCGCAAATCCAGCCAAAACGTCATGATTATCGACCGTGCTCATCGGTCTTTTGCCTCGCTCCGCAACATTGCCGCAGACAACTTCGAGGGCCAGCCTGACGTCATGCAGAACTTCGAGCTCAATCTCAACGCAGCCATGCATGAGCTGCATGCTCGCTCGGAGCGTATCCAGGAGCTCGAGGCTGACATTGCGTCCGCCAAGAAAGAGATGGAGACAAAGATGGCCCTGATCTCGGGGCTTACCCGGGAGCGATCTAGTTTGCAAGCTTCTCCGATGGATATGTCAATGATATCTACTCTGAAGAACCAACTCGAAGCCAACGAGAAGCAGATGACGGAAATGAGAGAGAACCACGAGGCCACTGAGAAGAAACTCATGGCCGAGCTCGAGACATTACGCACCGCTGTGAAGGAGACTTCCGCTGAGCGTGACGCCACAGAAGGCACTCCTGAGGCTGTGATTGCGACTGCTGCGGCCAGCGCTGTTGCAGACATTCCCATGGCATCGACCGAAGTGGCCAATACTGAGACGAGATCTTTGCAGACCACCGAGGAGAACGACAAGAAGATCACAGAGCTGCAAACCGAACTTACGGCCTGGGAAATCAAGCACAAGACCGCCCTCGACACGCTGCAGGAGACGGAGACAAAGATGAAGAAGACCATCGAGGAGCTTGAATCTGAGATTGTCGCGCTGAACACGCAGGCCTCTGTGCATTCCACTGCTCGGAGTGCCGAGGATGTCAAGGAAATCGAGGAGAAGCATGAGACGCTGGTCAAGTCTCTTCGCGATGAGATTGACGAGCACAAGGCTGCCATTACTATCAACTCCAGCAAGGTATCTGAACTCGAGGCAGCGCACGCTGCCACCAAGACTGAGCTGGAGGAGGTTGTCAGGGCCCGTAACTTGCATGAGACCCAGGCCAAGACGCAGCAGAGTCTCATTACGAATTTGGAGAACCAGATCACGGCCCACGAGCAGGCTCTCAAGACGCACCAAGATGGCATGAAGTTGCTTCAGGACAACCACGCAAAGGATCTCGAGGAGATGAAACAGATGGAGCAGAAGGGATACGAAGAGCAAGTGGCAGTTCTTCTCAACGAGCATGCAGAAAACGTCAGAGCTCTCGAATGCGAGCTCAATGACGCCCGGGAAGATCTCATGAAGGTCGCTACCCAAGTTGCGTTCGCTCTTGGCCTTGACGTCAGCATCGAAAAGATCACAGAGCGTATCGATGATTTGATTGCAGATCAGAAAGCTTTGGGTGAAGAGCAGAAAAAGTCAAGCGCAGCTGAGAAGCAGGTCGCCGAGTTGTCGAGCGTTAATGGCAACCTGGTCAAGGAGCTTGAACAGGCTAAATCGACTCTGACGGATCTCCTCACTGCGGAGGGCGAGCCCCTGAAGAGCCCCGCTCCTCTTCCCGACCAGCTTTCTGCTATTCGCAAGAAGATTTCAGATCTGCAGAGCAAGAACAAGAAGAACTCTCGTCTTGTGGAGGAGCTCGAGGATCAGCTGCAGAGCAACTTTGATCAAGTTCAGATGACCAACAACCGTCTGTCCACGCTGCAGACAGAGCGCAACTCGCAGATCGAGGAAGCTCAGGCTGCTAAGTTCAAGGCCGAAAGCGAGCTTGATTCGCTCAAAGCCGAACACGCGGCTCTCCAGGTATGTGTCACTCAAGGCAGTTCGGTATTCTGTTCAATTGCTGACATGTTGCAGGCTAAGATTGACGAGGCTTCGGCGTCTGGTCAAGTCCAACGATCCAACTCGATTAGCTCACCGCTGCGAAAGAGCGCCTCCGTGGCGTCTCTCCCCTCTCCGCCGCCGGCTATCCCCTTGCCGCCATTACCCGGAGCGTCGTCCGGTCCCAATGGCACGGTGCCAAGCACCCCTACTCAAGCAGGCCGACCAGGCAGCAAAGACAACATGGGTTCAACCAACCAAATCCAGGAGGACCAGGAGGCTCGCATCCGCACCATTGAGAAGCATCTCCAGGCCGAGAAGCAACTCACTCAGACTCTGGAGGAGGCGCTCACGGACCTCGAGCGCCAGTCGAACAAGGTCAAGGCCGATAGCGACGCTTGGCGCAAGCGCTGCGTGGAGTTGGAATCCGAGGTCAAGGAGCTCAAGGATCGCCCCGCGCCTACGCCGCAAGCCGACAACCGCTGGAGTTTGCACGCCGTTGAGGAGGAACGCAAAAAGCGCCAGGCTGCCGAGGCACAACAGCGTCTGCTCGAGGAGCGTATGAACGCCTTGTCCAAGAAGAAGAAGAAGGGCTCTCTCAACTGCTTCTAGTCAAGGTCTTGTTGCTGGGGCCTCGCATCTCGGAGGGACCGAGTCCGACTTGATTAATCTGCGTCGGTACTTCAAAGTCTACTGGGTTGGGGTTTTGATCCTTTTCTCGGCGTGATGGGGCGTTCTTCTGATTTTCGTTTTTGCCGTTCACACTACCCCCCGCGCCATCTCGTATTATGCGTTTGCGCATGGCATTTGTTTCATGCTAGCCGAAGATGATTCCCCTTACGCATGGCGAAACCCAGAAAATTGGGCAGGAGTTTTTCATACTGGTGGCTCGTACGTGCGTCATTCTGCTGGAGGGTGTTGACGATGGACTCTTTTTTTCAATACCACTACGCGACTTTGCTCATACGATATGGACCATCCAACCCTTCACTTCTCTTTGTTTCTATTCTAATTATTTCTCTTACATAACATTTGTTTACGAATAGCAAGACCGACGTCGTGCACTAATGACGGCACGAGGGTAGGATGATGGTGGCGGGAATGGTGGCGGGAATGGTGACTGGTTGGAGGCGGACCGGTTGTGTTTGGTGGCAGTCTCTTGAGGCATTTGTGAGGCTGACTCGCACAGCTTTTGGCTATTCGGGTACTCAGAGGAGGCGATTTGAGAAACGAGGCGAGGACGTACTAGACTTAACACCTTGGCTAATGCTAGTTTTTGGTGCCCGCTGGAATGCCGTCGGTTGAATAAAAGGTGGTTTGGAAGTTCACTAGTACTCCACGTGTGATGCCCTATGCCATGCCTCACGCCTTGATGGGAAGTCCCCAATGGCCGGCCTCAGCGACCGGCTTGAGGATCGCCCAAAGCATGCTCGTCCCATGCGGCCTTTCGGACTCTCAGTGTCGAGGCACATCTCGAGGCAGACTGATCCATGGTCACGACTGTTCGTCCGCCTTCAATCTTCTTCAGAGGGGAGGACCTCGGGAAACCAGCCGTAGGAACTAAAGTCTACTTGGAACTCGCCCATGGCCGTCCGCGAGACCTCGACGTCCTCGGCTTGTAGTGCTTCGGCTTGGTTTCGGGCACCTGAGGGCTGGGAGCTAGAGGTCGGTGTTAGGTAAGGTACGTAATGTGAGTGTGATGGTGCGGAAACAGAGGGAAGAGGGACGAGCATGTACCGTGGGGAGATTGTTCCTTTGGCGTTGATGACGCGCTGCCATGGGACGTTTTCGTTGTTGAAGCGGGATGTTGGGTCTGTGGGGAGGTGTTTAAGGCAGATTCCTACTTGACGGGGGCGCTCGGCTTTTGGTGGGGGGTGGGTTGTTAGCTGCGTGTGTTCTTGTATGGATGGATGCTCCTGGTGCATTGTATCTTTTGATGAGAAGTGAAGGAGGGATGGTGGTGGTGCGTGGACCTTGAGTGGGACGAGATATGATGAGGTATGGTTCCGGGAATGAGAGAGAGAGAGAGAGAGAGAGAGAGAGAGAGAGACTCACGGGTTCCGACGAGCCTGGCGATGTGGCCGTAGGTTGTCACTTTGCCGACGGGTATTTCTTGAACTGCGGTGTAGACTGCGTGAAAGAATGCTTCTGCTTCTTCTGTTCGGGCCATGCTTTTTTTGGTATTGATGGTAAAAGGTCTGGGAGGTGGGGATGGTGGTGAGAGACGGTGTGGCGATGAGTCCGTGAAGATTGGTTGGTGTTGTGCTGGAAGTGAAGTCGCTGCTAACAATTATGGACGGGTTAGCGTAGGAATGCACTGGCATGATTGGCCAGAACGCGCTTGCGCTTCGGCTTCGAGTGCTCCTTTGTTTTGCAATTGCATCGCCTATCACTCTGAATCAATGAAGATCATAAGCGATTTCTCATCTTCGATTAGTATCTATACAATTCCAACGCAAGTGTGGTGTTTCGGCGATGACATCCGCTTGCCTTCTGTTTTCCGTGGTGTCACGTTCTCCGGTCACAGAGGTACAATCCCAGCTCAAAAGCCCGGCCACAACATAGAGTCTTCCTTGCAAAGTCTACAAGTCACCTGAATAATATCACTTGTAGATCAGACCAAGGAAAGTTAGCATGTCCATATTCATGATTAGCAGTTTTACACTATTCTATAGATATTTTGCGATAAACCACGGACATAGTGATGTGCTGCAGAAAGGGTGAAGCTTCGTAGAAGACGCGCTTAGTGGGTGTTGTAGAACTCATGATTGACCGCGGTGGAATACCAAGTCCTCAATTATATCACCGGCCAATGATATGATGCCCCGAGACGCAGCAAGATAGGTAATATGTGACAAGATGCTCTTGCCGTTGCTCGGCTCAGCTCAGCCTGAATCTATCTTACCCCTCTTTTACATACTCACATCACTCGCTGGAAACCTAGGACCCAAATCATCAAACTTCGCCAAGGATAGCCCATTGGAAAACCGTTATATTTCATTGTATTCGCCAATCTTTCATCTGGGAAACGACCTTCCAGTCTCCTCCTACTACTACGACTAGGTAGCGTCCGCTGGGCTCCGGAGACTGCGAGCGAAGTTCCGGAAACCACGCAACAGACGGCGAGTCACGACCGACCATGTCCGATCAAGTAGGCTTTAGCTTCCAAGCCGACGTCGTGAACACGGCCTCTCTGGGACATGTCTTGACCGGAAGACTGCTCAAGGCGCTCAGTGATGGGGGCGTTGACACGTATGCTATGTGGGCTGCTGTTCAGCTGGGAAAGCGTATTCCGATCCAAGCTTTGCAACAGAGCTCATTACATGCCCACATCATGTCGAAAAAGACATATCAATCAGTTCTGTTCAAAGCCCTCAGTATTGGCTGGGGCCACTCGGCACCAGTGGCAGATTTGGCTCGGACTGTTGCAGGGGCGAATGCCATCATTCTGATCGGCGCTCTCGGAACGGGTAGTCAGGCATTTGCTGCCTCTCAGTGTCTGTCCGAGGTGATGGCAATTTTTGGGCTTGAAATCGACACGCTGCCAAGTGTAGATGTCCTCAAGGGACTAGTCAACTACTTGGCCCCCTTTACCCAAGACCTCGGCTTCGCGAAAGTTGTCCATCATATCACGAATGCTGCGGAAAGAGTGATGAGGCATACCGTTGGGAACGACGGACTGCTAAGCCTCCAGCGAGCGGATGCCCTGGTTCAACGACTCAAAAGTCTTGGAAGCGCTGCTTCCCTAGCGGGCGCTATCAAACAACTCATTCACACATCTCAGAGGAACGAAAAAGATTACATGGCACTTAAGACGCACGGATCATGGCTCCCAGCCTTTGCGAGCCATATACTTGGCATGTCTGTGGAAGTTCGGTTCAACCGAACTACTGTCTGGGCTAGCGGAGGTGATCACGGGCATTGTCTCTTCCAACTCGATGATGAGTCCACCGTTCCACCCGCTCTCCATCCATTTTCACAGGCCGATGGTCACATTGTACGTGTCAAAGAAGACTTCAAAGGAGTAAGCGATAGATCATTCTTGATCGTCGATTATTTGCTCGGAGAGGCTCTCGAGGCGCAGTTCCTCAAAAGGCCAGAGATTGACAACGAAATTGCTGCATCTATTCGAGTTGGCATAAGATGTCTTTCCTTAGACATTTTGAGCAGAATCCGGCTTGATCATCATTATACTCGCGTCAATTGTGTTAATGGCCTCTTCGATGGCGTGAGGGCATTGAAGGGCGTTTTGAATACGATGGGTATTGACGTCAACTCTCATCAGCAAGTTCCCCCAGGCCAGGAAAAGTACCTTGGACCGCCTCCGAGATCGGTATCAGAGGGGATAGAATACCAAGGACTCTGGTTTCTTGACCCCAAGGCTTTAAATATACTGGCTGATTCCTGTCCTTCGCATCAGAGGGACGGCGACTTCAAAGGCCGTGAATTCGAGTGGACTGCAAGCCCCCTTTGCGTCTGCAGGGTTGTTGGAAGGTTGATTCACTGCACTGCAGCCACGGCCATCGCACTCATGTTCTGCAATTTCGATGCCGCCGAAGTAAGAGTACAGGAGAAGGTTATGGCGGGAGATCTCATAACGAACTGGAGCGAAATCCTCGTATCAAATCTTCATAGGAAAGAAGTCTACATGAGCGAACAGGAAGGTAGAAAAACGACCATAAGGGTGGAGCATCACGACTTATTCTATCACCTGGGGGAATTGGTTTGCTGTGACTATGAGCTTCACTGGTTCGAAAAAGCGGATGCATCTTCGAGAATCAGAGGAATGAATACAATCTTGGGAGTCTCAGGAAGAGCCTTCACCATCGACTACAAATGCGTAATGGAAAATGAGTGTTTCGACGAGTGCGGCAGATTCATCCGCCTTCAGCCCGGCCGGGCATCAGTGGCCGGGACCTTTCGCAACGTTATCGTGGAAGAAACACTCCGCGTTGGGAGCCCAATGAACGAGACGGCGGAGGGTGTCTCCTTGGCGGGAAAGACCACGCTGGAGCCTAGTCACAGACCACCGGAAACTAGGATCACCATGGATGTATCGGTGCATGAGACGGCCATCTTCGTTAGACTGAACTTGACTGGAAATACGTCAAGGTCAGTAACCGCATCCTTGACGTTTTGCGTGGATCATATATTTTCTCAGTGGGCCGTTCCAAGATGCAATCATGACAAGGACGGGTCATACACGTTGTTACACGACCAGGATGTGGTTTTGAATGGTTTCCACATCGCAAAGCTACGCCGACGAGAAGCTACAGAGGTGCTGGTATATGCTTTGCGTGGGAATCAACTTGAGCAGCTTCTTGTTTGTGGTTTGATGTCATCGGAGGTGGCTAGATGGGCAAGTGAGGCGGTGTTTCCTGCCTGGCCAAAGACCGCCGAGCTTGGTGTGCTTCAAGCTTCAGCTTGCCTCAAATGCTGCATTGACTTGGCTCGGCAACCAGGTCATCTTCCTTGTGTCGTGATGGGTAATTGAAGAGGATCTGATACTTTTTTCTGTTTGGATGTCTTCAAGATGTAATTGCACTTGGTATGGTTGCCATCAAGTTATTTTGGAATGATCTCGATGAGGTTTGTTTCGCTTCATGTTTGCACCACTTTAATGAAATGTATTTTTGAGGATGTGGATAAATCTCTAGAACCTACTTTGCTTGAGATGCCATCCGCTATTGATGTCGAATCTGCCCCTTGCAGATAACTTTGAGCATGATTAGGGAAGTGGCTTACGAAAATTACGAGGCTCTGCAGAGATATGAGGCAACGACAACTGCAGACGGATTAGTGAAGGTTCCCTTAGCAGTTCCAAAACGCAAGGTAGCAGTAACAAGATGTCTCCGGCGGGGTTGTTCTAGAGAAGTACTTACCTGCGTTGAGCGCTGTCATCGTTCACTGAATGATACCCCCCGAATCTGCCTGTCTCAAATCCGAACTCTTGTGGTGGGTATCAAATTACATGTTAATTTTCCCTTGGATGAAATACTACTCCTGTAGAGTCGTGTCCTTCTCCGAGGGACCCTGTACCATGAGCGAGGTTCAAGACTTCTCCCATCACCTAGCTAGCATACTCGACGATAGTGGAGACTAGTCAGGGCTCCTTTCATCAGTTATTGGTAGTAAAAAGGATCATGGCTGAGTGAACACAATGTGATGGCAGCACAGCATTTCACGACAACGTGCAGCAGGTTTAGTGAAAATGGCAGACCCATGTAAAGCGTTTGTGTAGATTTGGCAGCCCATATTTCCGGATCCGAAGGTAATTATTGCCGTACCACCATGTCAGACCAACGACAAGGAACTTCGGTTTCGGTGCAGAACGACCCGTCAACGGACCCGTCGTGACAATTCGAACCACTCAAATGCTCTTAGACACCTCCGACGTCGCATTCCGGCCGCCGGACTTGGCCCGACGCCCCGCGTTCTCAACTTCTCCCCGGATCCACATCCATGGGGGCGGGGGCGGTACGACTCGGATTTTGAATACGACAAATCCGCGAGGAAAGCCGAAATATCTTCTTCTAAAACCCCTCCTCCCCCCCCCCATTTCTCTGACCTGTTCAATCTTGTTCAGTATTGTACCTCCTATCTAAGGTAGTCACAACTCATCTCGTCCATGAAAACCCGCCATACGTTGTCATCATGGAAGCATTCGTAAAGTCCCGGGAAACCCGACCTCAACTCCTCCAAAGCCTCCTGGCCGCTCTTCCTCCACTTGACAAGTCCCTTGAGGAATTTCACGACGTTGCAACCCTACCCGATGGCTACAAAATCAACCTTCAAGTTGTCCGCCCGCGCGGTGTAGACGAGTCAAAGGCGGACAGGCCTCTCATCCTGCTCTGGCCGGGTGGCGGTTTCATCGTTGCCGGCGTCGAGCCGACGACCCGCCCCGCTCGAGAATTCGCACTCGAGTTTGGCGCTGTGGTAGTCAACGCGACGTATCGTCTCGCGCCTGAGAACAAGTTTCCAAGGTCTGTCAAGGACGGGTGGGAGACAGCTGTCTGGCTTTCGAAGAACGCTAGTCGGTTCGGAGCGGATATCAGCAAGGGCTTTGTCGTTGGCGGGTGGTCTGCCGGTGCGAATATTGCCGCGGTTGTTAGTCAGAGGTCTGGTGTCGAGGGACTGGGCATTACCGGTACGCTTCTGGGTATCCCGTTCTTGCTTGTCAAGGAAATTGTGCCGGAGAAGTATGCCAAGGAGTGGGTTTCCCGCGAGACCAACGCCGAGTGGAGCCCAACTTTTACTACCGCTGTCATCAACGATGTGTCGAAGGCACTGGAGGCGGAAATTGAGTCGCCATGGTACTCGCCTTTCAACGATCCTGAGGCTATCCCGAAATCACCAAAGACTTATATCCAAGTTGGCGATCGAGACCCGTTGAGAGATGATGGATTGATTTACGCAAAAGTTCTGAAGGATAATGGGGTTGAGTCAAGAGTTGATAACTATCCTGACTGGGGACATCAAGGCTGGACTATATTTGCGCCTCAAGACTCGCCTGCGGAGCTGGGGCCGAATACGATGAAGGGGATGCGGTGGCTGTTGGGCGTTGGGAAGGAGTAGACTTCAGCGAAGGAGACGAAGGTTTCGGGCAGTCTTGGTATAATTTAGTAGATCCAGATAATTCGCGCCTAATAAAGCACAGAAAGAGAAAAGATCTTGTCGGGTCAAAGTCCCTAGGCGGTGGTCTACCTATCTCCTTGGAACTATAGCTAGGCGCAACTTAGCGGATTGAGGCCAAGATTACCAACCTTACTTCTCGACTTTGCGATGAAACTCTCGAAAATCTACTTCAAAATATTCAAGACAATGATAAAACCTGCCCAATGATTTATTACCTGTCTGAGTCCTTCTGTCAAAAAGAGATATTATATGCATAAACCAGTCATTAATAGTACTGCAATTAGGTAGGTACTGTGGAGTAAGTCCCGGGAGCATCGTACACCGAATCTCAACACGGATTTGGCGTAGGTGACGTGAAATACAACATGCGATTCGCTCCTTGACCGCAAATATTCTGTCGACACTGATACGCATCATTGGTCCTAAGGTAGATAGCGTTGTCGTAGTTTTGTGTCTCCGCTGTCGGTGGACGGTGTGGATAATTTGAGCTGTTGCGATGCTGGGGCCGGAGCACGTCATCGGAACTCGCGCACGGAAGGGCGCTTCTCCCATCCGGCGAGCCCGGTTTGTAGCGCCGGAAGTTGGGAAGTCGGCTTAGCTAACAGCCAAACTCTTAAAGTCTCGTCCTTGAGGGTTGCGCGATAATATTTATCTTCCGCATTCAATTGATTGATCAATTGAGCGAGAAGGTTCAATCGAAGTGAATCGCAATGCAGTTCAGGACGTCAGCGTTGGCCTCGGCGGCCTTGCTCCTCAGCGGCCATGTTGCAGCTTATGGCGACGCTCAGACTCCCCTTGTCGGCCCCGACCGGGATGCGATATCGCCTTCTTCACGGCCAAACATCGTTTTCGTCTTGACTGACGACCAAGACCTGCACATGAACTCATTGGAATACATCCCGCTGATTCAAAAGAGGCTCATCGAAGAAGGAACACTGTATAAGAAACATTTCTGCACGACAGCTGTATGCTGCCCATCGCGCGCAAGTTTGTGGACGGGCAAATTGGCTCACAACACCAACGTCACCGACCTCAACCCACCATATGGTAAGATAGTCTCATCCACCCACTAGTCCGATGGACTGGCGTCGAGGTGCATGAACACAAAGCTGACTGGGGTTTGCAGGCGGCTTCCCCATCTTTGTGAAGAATGGCCATAACGAAAACTACCTGCCGATTTGGCTGCAAAAAGCCGGATACAGCACCTATTACACAGGCAAAATGTTCAATGCCCATACTGTTTGGAACTATGACAGCCCTCATCTGAAGGGCTGGAACTCTTCTGTGAGCGTCCTGCTTGACTAACAACCAATCTCTCCTGCTGACCTTGTCTCAGGACTTTCTCCTTGACCCAAACACATACGACTACTACAACGCCACCTTCCAGCGTGACCATGAGAAGCCAGTCAACCATCTCGGCGAGTACTCAACGGACCTGGTGGCAGAAAAGGCTTACGGATTCCTTGATGATGCCGTCGACGCTGGCAAGCCCTTCTTCATTGGCATTGCTCCCATCGCCCCGCACAGCAACGTCAATTCCAGTATCCTTCTTCCCGTCAAGGGCCCAGACGACAACGTTCCCGTATCTGACGACAAGTTTCGAGTCAGCATCCCGTTAGCTGCCAAGCGACATCAACACCTCTTTGAGGACGCCAAGGTCCCGAGAACGGAGAACTTCAATCCCGACAAGCCCTCTGGCGCCGACTGGATTCGCCGCCAGCCCAAGCTGACGGATGAGAACGTGGCATACAACGACAAGCACTACCAAGGACGTCTCCGTGCCCTGCAAGCAGTCGATGAGCTTGTCGATGGCCTCGTGGAAAGATTAGAGAACCATGGTATCTTGGACAACACCTACATCTTTTACACGACAGATAACGGCTACCACATTAGCCAGCACCGGCTGCAGCCCGGTAAGGAGTGCGGGTACGAGGAGGACATTAACATCCCTCTCATTGTTCGTGGACCCGGTGTTCCCAAGGGAGGCGTGACTGAAGCCGTCACGGCGCATGTTGACCTCGTCCCTACGATCCTATCACTAGCGGGTGCGCCGTTGAGAGCCGACTTTGATGGAGCGCCAATCCCGCTCTCGGCAACGGACCTGACTGAGTCTCCACTCACCCGCGAGCATGTCAATGTCGAGTATTGGGGCTGGGCCATCACTGAGAGCAAGTTCGGCTTCAATGGCGATGATACAAAGCGCATCTTCAACAACACCTACAAGGCACTCAGAGTTGTCGGCGAGGGCTACAACCTTTACTACTCGGTTTGGTGCACCAATGAGCACGAGCTTTACGATATGACTGTAAGTTTACTAACGAATGATGATTGAGTCATCCTCTAAGACTTTGTCATGCTGATTCCAATCTAGACCGACCCCGGTCAGCTTCACAACCTCTTACACACCGATGAAGCTGCCCTGGCAGCACGCGCAACCATTCTTGGCTACCCTCTCAAGAAGGTCCTGCCCAGACTCGACTCCCTCCTATTCGTTCTCAAGTCTTGCAAGGGCACGACCTGCTCGCAGCCATGGAAGGCCCTCCACCCTACAGGAAACGTCGGCAGTCTGCTTGAAGCCCTCGCACCGCGCTTCGACGAGTTCTACATCCAGCAGACTCGTGTGCAATTTGACCACTGCGAGCTAGGACACATTATCGAGGCTGAAGGGCCGCAATTTGAGCATGATGGGGCTGTGTACTGGAAGGGTTCCAGATGGAGTGACTGGACTTGAGGAGGGTTGGCGACATGTAAAACGCAGTTTTGAGGTATCGCCGAACAATGAAAGCTCAACGAGATTACGACTTGCCGAATATTTGCCCGTCGTACTAGAGTAGCGGGGTTCCACGGCATCAAAAGGCGGTGAAAATTCCCGCAGCCAAGGTCCGCAAGTGAAACATGTCCAACAGCGTGACGGTATGTGATCTCGAATAATCGCAAAGGGACATACGCAACGGCACACGGCTTGCTGCTCGATCGAGGGGCCCGCCGTGCGACATCATGACCCCTCTTCCCCCACATTGAGATCCGCTTCGGAACTAGGAATTTAAGCTCCCTTGTCTTCCGGAACTAGGAAAGCCAGCATTCCCCCCAACTCCGACCGGATTAGACTTCGGGAAACGCTCGACATCTTTAAAGCAAGTGAACCCTGACGTAAGTCTACTCAATTCGTCATCGTCCGATGAAAAGGGTGTTTGGAGTTTGGGGAAAGTATCCCAAGAAGAACATCTCAGCTTCCACAACGACTTCCCCACACATCAATCCCGTACACACTCAACATTTTCTCGATTGAAAACAATTGCATCACCAGTTAGACCAATATGGCGCCGTACCAAGGTCATTGCAATTGTGGCTCGGTCAAGGTCACAGTCAACAAGAAGCCAGATAACATCGTCATCTGTCACTGGTAAGTCCACCATACCCATTGACCCCACCTGGCATTCTGAAGATGAATTGACGCGAAATAAACATCAGTTCAAACTGCAAACGTGCTGGTGGTCGTACGTTCAACTCCGAAATTTCCCGATACAGCTAAGGTAGTCTGACTGTGATGGAAACATGTAGCCTTCTCCATGAACCTCTTTGTCGATGACGGCGAATGGGAGATCGACGATAGCCAAAACACGCTGAAAGAGTACCAGGACTCGAACACTGATTCCGGAAATACTATTCAAGTCAGTTGAAAACTTGTTCTTCAAGACAGAAACCACCTCTGACATAATGCATCTAGCGATGCTTCTGCGGAAAGTGCGGAAGGTAAGGCTATCAACTAGACGGCCCGTTCCTTTGTGTCCTGACAAGTTTTCCAGTCCTGTGAAGACTACGACAAAGGCGATTCCCGGCAAAGCGCTTATCAAGGCATCATTGTTTGACGACATCCCAACAAAGAAGAGTGAAGTGTATGGCCAGAAAGCGATCGACTGGGCCTAAGGGATGCTGTCACTCAATTTGAAGTTACGAAAAGTGGCGTTCGAGGCGGGTGGGCTGTCACTTTGACAAATGAGGTTGGGTAAAAGTGATAGTTGACAGGTAGATTAAAGGCATCTGTGCTTGATATGCAGTAAGAAATTAGAAATTTGGCACTTCGCTCGCACATAGAATTTGACAAACGAACTGAGAAGAGGTATTCCAGCTGCCCAATTAAAGCAAGGAGTCTATACATAGTGATCGCTTTAGTTACTGACTCATTCACCACTCTACACATTCAAGTCCGCCACCGTATGCCCGAACTCGCTCTTGTATGTCGTATCTACAACCCCCGTCTCTACAATTCTCGTGCTGGTACGATTGGAAGGGAACGTGCGGTTGAATCCTAGGTACGGGCCCAAACTTGGTGGGAGATCCTGGACCCTCGTTCCCCAGTCACTCTCACGTCGGCCAAGAGTAAGTACCAGCTCCTGACCCTCGGTGAAGAATTTGTGATCAACCCAGCTTTTTCTATAAGGCTGTCCGTTCAAAGTCGCCTTTTGGATATAGATATTTCGGTACTGCGGGTCAAAGTTGATGTTGCGGACCTTCGCTGTTCTACCCGTTTGTGGGTGCGTGATTTCGATGCTCTCGAAGAAGGGTGGTATGATCAAATAAACATCTTGCCCGGGATTGGGAAACAGACCCATCATAGAGAAGGCAAGGAAAGATCCCATCGCACCACTATCATCGTTACCGGGAAGACCGGCTGGATCAGGTGAAAAAAATGAAGGAATGTAGAAATGAGCTCGTCTTGCAGACAGAGCTGGACGACCGGCATAATGGTATTGGAAGACTGTGAGGAAAGCTGGCTCGTTGCCAATGTAGGTGATGTTTTGGTCATGCAAGAAGTTGAGCCTGCGAACGAAGGCGTCCGGGCCACCAAGTGTGTTGATGAGCGTTCCTTGGTCATGAGGAACAAAGCTATTAAGGTCAGTTAGTCGAGGCTCCAGCGGCCAACCACATTTTATCTCGACTTACAAGCCATACTCCCAAAGACTACTCTCAAATGTTTCTGGGCCGTTGTTCTGCAACGAACACGAGCTCTGCCCATCAAGATTACTGCAGTTCAGGGGGTTCTGATAGGCCCAAGTCTGGTTCAGGAATTTGGGCTCAAAGAATCCTCTGAAGCCTGTGTCGGTACCGTTGAAGAAGGCTGACTTCTGATCCTGCTTGTACAGGTTACGCCAGTTACTGCTCGAGGCAAGATACTTTTCTCTGTCATCCCCATGGCCCATACGGTCTGCCATTGAGGCGATGCAAAAGTCGTTGTAGCTGTACTCAAGCGTTCGTGAGACGCTGCGAGTCAAAGTTCCGAAGCCTTTGACATCGAAGTCCTGAACGGGAATGTAGCCCAGCTTCTTCCAGCTGTCCATTCCACCACGGCCGTTGACACTCCAGTCGAACGGTTCTTCATCCGCGTCCTTCTTCACCGCTTCATAGCCCAGATCCCAGTCAATTCCCTCGGTGATATTCTTCAAATAAGCGTCCGCCAGAACGTTGTCCGCGTTTGATCCTCCTTGAGTGAGCCCCTTGCACAAGCTCATGCGGCAGTCCGGAAGCCAGCCGAGGTGAACGTACGTATCGATGAGTGACCTGACCATTTGCGCAACCGAAGTTGGGTCGATAATCACCAAGAACGGAATCTGGGAGCGAAACGAGTCCCACAGGCAGTAGAATGAGTCCCAATACGGCTCATCGCTTTTCCAAAGGGGATTCTCGCCAGTGTAATTTTGGGGGTTGACCATGGTCCGGTAGATGCCGCTGTAAAAGTTCCGCGCGAACGACTCATCCACGCGATCGGTGTTGATCTTAATGGGGCTGAGCTTACGGCGCCATATTGCTGTCGCTTCGCCTGACACCCTCTCAAAGTTGTAATCAGAAATCTCACCCTCAGCATGTTCACACGCCCTTTCCTCGCTGATGAAACTAGTCGCGACACGCGCGGTAATGGGCTGGTCCGCAGACTTGAACCGCACAAAAGCGCCGCCGGGTAAGGGATATCCATTGATAGACCGCGAAATAGTCATGTTCTTCACCTCTGTGCTCGCACGACTGTCTGCAAAGATGCCCGTATCGAGGATCTCGGCGCCATTGAAGTCGGTGCAAAAGTGCAGGACAAAGGTACCGCTGCCGAAGCTCGGCTGGAAGCGCGCGTTGCCTGTGATGCGTCCTGATTTGGCGTCCACGTTGATCGTTGCGTTATCTTGTCTCGTGTCGCCGAGATCTGAGAGGTCTTGCAGGATGAGAGGCTGTCCTGCTTGGGGGAAGTTGAACCTTATGAGAGATGCTCGCTCTGTTGTCGTCATTTCCACCCGGATGCCGGTTTTCAAGGTGATGTTAAAGAGTCCCGGCTTTGCAATTACGTCTTTTTGGTTGAAGTACCCATACTTCGCCCTCGCCTTTTTCGGAAACGTGCACCAGTTGATGACTCCGCTGGGGCAGGTTGTGTATGCAAATAACGGGAAGTTTCCCAGAGAAGGCTGTCCGCCAGTACCGGAGTCATGCATTGTCGAGAACCCAGTGACTGGGTTCCCATCCAGAGTGAAGCCGCCTTGATTCGAGCTGCTGTTGGTATCCGCAGATGCCTTTGCCATGCCATATGGTAGTGTCGCTCCCACGAAGACATTGCCACCATTCCTAGAGCCGATGAGAGGATCAACGTACTGAAGAGCATCGAAATCGTCTAGGGCCTCGACTGCGGCCGAGTTCGTCAAGTCGGTGGAGGATGAGCCGGATACCCAGTTCGATGCAGCTTGTACGGCGTCGTGAGCTACATGTGAGGCTGCGTGATTAAGTGAAGGCAGATAGGTGTCTGGCATAAGCCACCAGCGGAATATCGCCGCGACGCCATGGAAAGACCACAACTCGCTCCACATCGTGACTCTTGGTTGATGATGCGTTCACTACCTGCACGACGAATGAAGTCTAAAGTCCGCAGCAATAACTGCGTTGAAGTTTTCCCATCATCCCTTATCATACAAGTAGGAAATGGCTGTCCCGGTCAACACGTGACGAAACGTCAAAGCTAAAGTTAGTCTCAAGTTCAGTAGAGTTTCCTCCGAGCTCTGCTGAGAACGTCCTGCATGCCACTCATGCCAGCTTGAGGCGGCCATTAAACATCATGGCGTAAACGGCGAAAACCGGCCATCGTGTACTGCGATCTCAACCCCGCAGTAGGACTTGTCATGGACCGGATGGTGTAAACTTTTAATTGTGCCAATTACCTTTTGATGGTTGCATTGAATCAGCTAGCTTCAGTGATGCTTCAATAAGCTGAGGTCGCACGCGGCAATCGAATAATGTAGTCTCGGTCCCGTCGTCGCATTGATCGAAAGCCCGCTTGGACCCGACAGTTGCAAGAGAAACTTAAACATTGGGGCGGGAAGCAGGCACTGGCAGACCTGTATCTTTCGCAAACCCAACCGTTTCACATCAGAAACGAACCTTTTTTCCAATCACATTCACTCGAATTGGGCGTTTCTCGTCGTTTGTTTCCCTCCCGAGTCAGGATGCTTCGGTCCGTGGGGGTGGATTGACGGCCACCACCCTGCCTGTCTGCCGACAAGACGGACGTTACTTCGAGGAGTCCGTCGTCGTACTTCTGCTTCGAGAAGCTGTGGATGGAAGGCATGCAAATTGGACGAACTACGGCTGAGTTTCCAGCTACATGGTGGCAGGTATCTACCCGCCTACCTTAGTCGACTTATCCCGATGATTATTACAGTCTCGTCCCGCCGTAAACACCATCGAGTTCGCTCTATGACCTAGGCAGCGGTCGACTTGTGGCATCAGAGGTGTGATTTGAAGTCGGGTTGACCTTCTTACGATGATCTCGCAGCATATTTTCTCTATGCAGTCTCGAGAATCTTGGCGTCACTTTCCATCGCAGAAATGACTCAGGCTGTGCAGACAGTTTGTCCGATCTCTTTGTGCCTTTTTGAAACGTTCCTCTTTTTTCCAAGTTTCCTGGTGTTTGACTATGCCATCGGAGGCCAAACGAACGAGATGCCAGACCTGAATGTGATCCGGGCAGGGCTCTTGCGGAAACTTTGGAAGAGGTTCGTGTCACGGCCATTTGATTGGACAAAGCTGTCCCGGATACTTCTTCATGCCCGCAACTTACACGGGCACTGCGAGCTGCAAGCTTAGATCAGGGTTGAGTCAATGACCGACCCGATGTCTTTCTCTGCATACGCTTCTCTCTAGTGCTACTCTACTAAGACCTTGTAAGTGCAACTAACTACCTCATCCTCAGCTTTTTGTGTTGAACTCATCAATGACACTTTGAGGCTTCACGAAGCTGCCCAGCGGATGATACTCGAGGTGAGAAAATCCGAAAGCTTCAGGTCCACCAATTTCAAGACCTCTCGCAGAGCCAGTCCACCGATCGCTGGCCGCGATTCCCAGAACAATGACCAATAGTCCGTATCTGTATTCTGGTGTTCCAATGGCTTCGCCGTTTTGCGCATCAATGACCGCGATAAGATCTGGCACGATGGCTAGGACATCCTCCTGCTTCTCTGTCTCGACTTCGTGGGGCCCGGATCTGGCAGATGTAGCCTTGATTGCAGCGATGTTTTCATTCTTGAACGGAATCTTGACGAACCCCGTGAACCGTTGTTTGGTTTCTCCTTCCCCTGGCTCATCTGAGGTGCAGATATCAGCGCCTTCGATGACTAGCTCCCCATAGACGTGACCCTTCCTGAGCACCCTCTCGACACCCACAATCTTGCCCTTGAAGAGAACCTTGGCCGAGCCGTGGCCGCCGCACTCCTCAATAATGGTCTCCGCAACATTGTCTACACGATTAAGTTTCCTCGCCTTCGTAACAGCGCGACCAATTCGCCACGACTGAGAAATGGTATGTTCGACCACCCACCTCTTGGTCTCGGCTCCCGTCACCGGCGGATCAGCGACAGCCACCTGCGAGCCCATCTCCGCCAGTGCCGCACGCATAACCCGCTCAACCTGCTTATCAGATGACGCCCGCGACATCGTGACGATGCTCCCATTCCCGTCACTCATAGTCACGGGCGTCCAGATAGGACTTCGCTCGTTGAAGACCACAGGCGTCGTCTGCCACTTTGTCGGATA